CTTTTTTTTGTTTATTTTGCACTATTAGATAATTTAAAAAAATATATTTTAAGTATTTTGATTAAAATGATAAAAATCATAGGAATAATAAAAATGCTAAAAATGCAAAACTACATAAAAAATGGAACATTATTTTTTTTGTAATTGTATTTTTTCAACACTTGCTCCAAATTTGGCTCCTTGTGTATTCTCATTTTTAAAATTTTCTTTTTTTGAACACTCCTAATACTTATATACAAACAATTTTAAATGTATTCTATGAAACAGTGTGCTAAATGTTCTAAGATGAACAGAGCAAAAATAAATTAGTAGAAAATCACTTATCAAACTTTTTTCATTTTGAAAGTGACAGCTGGACATCAGACATTGTCTGGATAACACCTCAGGTTGTCCGATCAATTAATTCAATTAAGATCAAGTAATCTGACATTTTGATAGACGGGAATTAAATTCTACAAAATAAAGCTTGGACAGGAATGGCCTGCGATCGAACGCTATTGTTGACCACATAAATGATTTTTTTGGTTACAACTTGATCACGACTGCTTAGATGATTCAAACATTTCTGAAATGTGCTAAAAAAAGAAACCCTAAGCTCAACTTATACTAAGAAAAAAAAATAAAAAAACTAAAAGAACAAGAAAAACAATTCCTTACAAAAAAGAAAATAAATTAGCTTTAAAATAAAACTAAAAAAACTTGAAGTTAAAATTATTTTTTGTTATGTTTTTAGTTGCTTTTGAAAAAAATTAAAACTTATCTTTTAAAAAGTTTAATTAAAGTTATGCAAAACGCTTTTACAAATTACTTCTATTTATTGTTTAATAAATAAACAAATTTTATTTTAATTTTGAAAAGTGAAATTAAATTATTGAAAAGAAAAAAAAAAAATATTTTAAAATTATATAAACATTTTCTTTAAAAAGTTGCAAAAAAAATATTGTTTAAAAAAAATAATGTAGTCTTTTTAAAATCATAATTTTAAATCATTTCATGCTTAAATTAGTAAATCAAGTTAAAAAAAACAAACATTTAAACAATTCTTTGTAAATTTAGAAACAAAACAAAAATAAAGCAATTAAATCATGAAAAGATTTAATTTAACTTTTTCATAATTTAAAGTAACTTAAAAAAATAATCTTTTAAAAGACTTTCAGAAAGATTTGAAAAAACAGTTTCAAACACTTAAATTTATAATAAAAAATAAATACTAAAAAGAATATAAATATAACATTTAATTTACACATAATATGTTTATTTTAAACGATATAAATAATTTTTGATTTTATTTAAAGCCTTCGCATAAAATAAAAACTTTAAAAAAGATCAACAATCAAAAGTTATTCTTAACATAACGGCGTTTTTTTATTGCATTTAAATTGTTAAAATATCAAAACAGCCATTGTCAAATAGTAAACAAAAAAAATAATAAGCGTTGTCAATTACAGCGTGAAATTTGAAGTCAATCTAAAAAAAATATACAATGTTAAATTGAAACTATTTTATAAAAAAAAAAAATCTGTGATGAAATATTCTAAATAATAAGGAAAGACACTACAATTTCATTGGACTAACATTAAATAAACTGAATAACATTACAAAAACTTTGATTGCATAACTCGGTTCTGTAATTATATTTAAAAATTTGATCGGACACTGTCCAACCCAAACAAGTTTTGATTAGACATTTTGTCTGGGACCTTTTAAAAAATTAAATTGAGCCCTATATATATATATATACATATATATATATATATATATATATATATATATATATATATATAAAGATAATAAGAATTTTTTTCAATGTTGACAGTGAGATACAACGTTTTTTTTATTCAGCAGATTTTTTCCATTATGTGATAAAATAACATATTTTTTCATGGAGACAAAGGTGGCATATTGTTGTATAAATTATTCCAACTAAAAATAAAAAATATATATATATATATATATATATATATATATATATATATATATATATATATATATATATATATATATATATATATATATATATATATATGTGTGTGTGTGTATGTATGTATGTATTTTTAGTTGGAAAGCAATTGAAGAGCTAAAGGATGATCTTCTGGTAAACCTAAATCACAATAGTATATTATTTGAAGTGAAATAGGCTGAAAAAGATCCAGAAATAGCAGAACTTAATAAGAAAATCAAAAAACTACAAGAAGAAAATGCAAATTTACTACCTTCTAGTTCACCAGCTTACTATAGTCAAACAAATAGTCAAACAATTTATTATAGCTAAACAATCAGTCAAACTAGATTCCGAGCTGTATAATGCAAACATCAGTGTCAAAAAGCCATAAAAAATTATTCATTAAAAAGCCATAAAAAATTATTCATTAAAAAGCCATAAAAAATTATTCATTAAAAAGCCATAAAAAATTATTCATTAAAAGTTAAAAAATGTTGTTGGTTTTTACAACTAATAAAAAAGAAGTAGCACGAAAAAAACTGTTTGCAGCAAAGAAACTGTCAACAATTGCTGACATAAAATTGCATATATAAAAGCATATATTTTGGATACAAAAAAGTATACAATCTGATGGCACTCCTGAATAGCAGGCTGAAGTTTAAAAAAAAATAAAGAGAGAAAGAAGAAAAATGAGGACTTACAATGGCAATATTAACCTATATTAGCCCTTTCAATTTGTCATTTGAGGCAAAATAAATTTGGGTATTGACATCATTACAGCAAAAGCCATTGGCAACCAATATCTTTTGTTGCAGCGACATTGATACACAAAATTCACAAATTTGTCAAAGAAAGGGTTGCCAAGCAGGCTCAGAGGGGTCCTTATCAGTCAATTTTATAAATCTCATCAAAAACTAAGTAATCTATAACTGCCTATTTGTTTGGAGAAAGATAATAAGACCAACTATAAACTAATTAATTTCAAACTAATCAATTACACTAATGCTATCTCTTTTAACTCTAATAAGTTTTTTGAGATGTTCATACTAGACCAATCAAGAATAAAGAAGAACAAAATATAACTGAAATATCAGACTTAGCATATATATATATATATATATATATATATATATATATATATATATATATATATATATATATATATATATATATATATATATATATATATATATATATATATATATATATATATATATATATACATATATATATATATATATATATATATATATATATATATATATATATATATATATATATATATTAAATAAGCAATTTAAATCAACCCTGGCAATAATAATCTGACAAAGAGGTGAAAACCAGTGTGATTGCAGTCAACTATTAAGGTGAGTTTCCACTCATCCGTTTTTTCATGGGAACGGGAAAGGAATGGGAAAAATAATCACATGAGCATGTGTAGTTTTCCTTTGGACATATTGAAACTTATACTACGCATGCCCACATGATTATTTTTCCCGTTCCTTTCCCGTTCCCGTGAAAAAACGGATGAGTGGAAACTCGCCTTTAAATATGATCACCAATGAGAAAATCCTAAAATGAAAGAAGAAGCTATAGATATATAGATAAAAGGTATAGATGAGTCAAAAAGCGATGGGTATTAATACAACTAGTCAATTTATTTCAAAACATGCTGCAAAAGGTTTTGTTGATCTAATTTTTCAAATCTTTAAATTGAGTTTTGACAATGGGTGTGTCCTTTATCATTGAATTATTGCAAATATATCATCAACTTTTAATGGAGGATCAAAAGTTGAACCAGAAAACTATAGACGGAATTTTATTTATGGAATAAGAATTTCATCTTTGGTAAGCCTTGAAAAAATTTATGAAAAAATGATTTTTTTTTAGTTTTGAAATAGCTTTTTAACAAAATAGCTTTTTTTATAGCTTTTTATAGCTTTTTAACAAAAATTTCATTATCATTATGTTTTAGATTGATTTTAGAATGAACGTTGATATGAAATGACTAACTAATTTATGCGCAGTAGACGAAGATTTTGTTAAAAGTAAATATTGTTGATAGTTAGTTGACCGTTAAGAAATTCAGTCATAAAAAATTGCCTCTATGTTTATAAAAAACAACTAAACAGTCAGAAAAAAAACAAGACGTTAATGTTGTGTAAATATTTTCAGAAATATATAAGTTTAAATAAGTATAAGTTTTATAAAATAAGAAATTTTTTTTTTCAACTAACATTTAAACTTTATTGATAACTTTTTTTATAACAATTTTAATTGTTTAAATTAAAGATATTTTATAAATATTTAAAAAAGATAAAGATATTAATAAAATGATTTTTACAGCTTCAGCATGAAGTCTACCAAAACTAGCAGAAATTTTCATGATTGAAAAAGTTCAAAGTATAGCAACAAAAATCCAAGTATAATGTTTTATTTGTTTAAGTGTTTTATTCAAGTATAATGTTTAGTTATAAAAAGCAACTAGTTAAGACGGGTTTAACAACTTGTAAGAAAATCTTATATGAAAACATAGAGAGTAAATTCACTTAAACAAAATATTAAAACATTTAGAAACTGCCGATCTGTATGTCAAACTAGTCTTTAAGTCAAATGTTGAGTTAGTTAGCCTATGTTCTTCAACTAGAGGTCATAAACATAAAATCAGGACACTGTTTTTTGTTACCCCTCACAGAAATAATGACTTCAGTTAGTTAAAGAACCCATTTCTTTTTAAACAGAGTTTGTAAAAAAATAATAAAATTTTGCATATTGTTATCTAGACAAATACTTGACAAAAAATAAGAAAACTTATTTTTTATTAAAAAAAATTAAGTACTGGACCAACCAGAAATTAAGTACTGGGCCAAAAATTAAGTACTGTGCCAACGTTCAGCCAAAGCTGAACGTTGCTATTTATATATATATATATATATATATATATATATATATATATATATATATATATATATATATATATATATATATATATATATATATATATATATATATATATATATATATATTACTATCATATTATAACTAGATATTTACTCACCTATTATTCCTAAGAATTTGATGGGACCTTGATTTGGCACTTTCATCAAAAACCGGTAAATCAGTTAAGAGATTGTTATCTAAAATTAGTGTTTTCAACGATTTAGCAATCCACATATCAAATGGTAAAGATGATATTAAATTGTTTCCACAAGTTATACTTTGCAATGCTGGCATCTCAAAAACATTTTTTGGAAGAGTTTTTAATAAATTATATTGAAGATCTAATTCTTCTAAACAAGGGCAATTCCAGTTCATTGAAAGACTGTTCTCATCCTCATTGATGCTGTTTATAAATGGATCATTTTTTTCACTTTCATGCAAAACAGGCAAATTATCAAGTTTATTGTGAGAAAGATTTAACTTTTTTAATGAAGGCAATTGGAAAATAATAATAGGAACTGCTTCCAAACAATTTTCTGATAAATTAATATTCGTAATTACTTTCATTTGAAGAGATATATCATTTTTTAAAAAATCTTTATTTGAATTCATAATCAACGCTGAATTTAAGATCCATTTGTCTTTTAAGCACTTTATGTGTCGATTTTTCCAAGATATTGATACAGGATTTAAATTATGACAAACTTCACTGGCAGCAAGAGCAAGGTCATCTTCATTATCAGTCACACCTAAGTAATAAAAATAGTTTTCAAATTTTCAAATTTATCTTATTGTCATATCCATTTTTTAAATAAATAAGTTTATTTAAAAAATGGATATGACAATAAGATAAATTTGAAAATTAAAATAAATTAAATAAATAAATTTAGTTATTTTTAAAAGATTTGCATCCTCATCTGTTTAATTAAGGTGTTTTCTGCTTTGTTTTAGGGTGTTTTTGAGTGTTTTCGCATTAGATAATAATTCAAATTTTGTTAAAAAACTTAAAATTAGTTATCAAATGAATTTGAAATGAGTAAGGTCAAGAGTCATTATGATCATCCTGCTATTGGTAACATGTATAACCTGCCTTCTTAAAATTTTTAAAGGTTTCTTAAAGGTTTTTCAAAATCTGTTTAACAGCAATAGTAAAACAGCTTTTTTGTCAAAATCAAAAAACAGCAGGTTAAAACAGTTCAGAATAAACAGCAAACAGCTGTTCTAAATTGTTTTAACTGTTTTTGACACTTTTTACAAAAGGAGTTGATAGAATTAAATTACATGCTACAAAAAAAAAATTACAAATGCACAAAACACGGTACAAAATGCAAAAACGAACTTAGTTATAAGTTAGAAGCACAATGTGGTAAAAATAAAGTGTTCAGGTAACTCAACAATAACATTAAAGAATCATCAAGTTGCATAATATTAATGTTGATAAAACTGATTAAAACACATCTTCCAAGGAAAAACTAGAAAATGAAAAGCAACTATAAAAAATTTTCTGTACCAAAAAAGTCTTAAAAAATCGTTACAGATCTTGCAGCAGATGGAATATTTATAAGAGTAATCACTAGAAACAATTGATATAATCTCAAAATAGGTACAAACATTGGAGACATGACGATAGAGACAACAGAACATTATGTACTTTTTTTTTTTACATTATGAAATTTTTTCACGATGATTACAATGAAAAAAGGATTCATATGCCATACGAGACAATTTTTCAGTGCGAATCTTCATAGAAGTGATGACAAAAAAACATTGTCTTGTGCGTTTCTTGGTTACTTCTCAGCCCATTAAATTAGCTGTTGATAATTTTAGCCGCGAAAACACAATGTTAGTAAGTGCTGAACAAATATTACAATTCATGTTCAATAAACTTTTTGATTTCTGATTTTGAAAAACGAAATAAATGATTAGCTCCTAGAAAATTTGAAAAATATTTGCATGTTAACAAATGAATGGGAACATTATGGAGTTTATATGAAATTTCAAAAATATTGCACCCATTAACTGCAAATGCAAGTCTACAAAGGCCAATAAATTACAAGAATTGAAAAAATTATTTTTTTCAAGATTGAAAAAGAAAGACTTACAGAATTGAGCACCATTTTGAAAAAATATTTTCAGCTAAGTATACTTTGACGGTTCACACATCTAAGAAAATCTTAACATAATCTTGATATATTTTTAATTTATATTTTTGTATTTTACTTTGTAAATACTTAAATAAAACAAACAAGTACAAACCTAAAAGTTTATCTTTACATTATTGAAAATGCAAAAAAAGTAAATATATTTTTTAGAGAAAAGAAGTGGGGCATGGCCCCAGTGCCCTGGGCCAATGAGGTTGTCGCCTGGTCGTCAGTCCTGGAAACAATTTTAACACGCAATATTTTTAAAATTATGTGACTTAAAGCCTTCAAATAAATGTTTCAATTCTGAGGGGACAAGAGGGGCTTGGCCAATATTTGCTAAAAGTAAAACGGTCATATTTCAGGATCTTCTTGAAGCTTGAGGCTAAAATTACTAAGGAACTCTTATTTTATTAAGCACTCATAAAAATCAGTAAAACCTGAAATGTATGGTGACATGGCCTGGGTCATTTGACATGGAATCACCTCACAACTATATACTCCATTCTTGACAAAAAGTCATCACCTTTTGATCACTCAGAACAGACAGCTGATTTTGAGCATCATCTCTCTCTTGTATCAGTTTGGGCTTCAGATTGGGATCAACCTGGAGCTAAAAAAGCCTTCTAGTCTTAATCTGTTTCAGATTGGGACTTAAAGATTGGGACTTGAATTATAAAACTCTAATTATTATTATTACTAAAATTCTTGACCTTAAAATATTAAGATAACTAGCTAATGATAAATCACGGTCACATTAAGCCAAGTGAACTATTTTATAGCTATTTTATCCATTATTATTCTTAAGTCTACAAAATCATCTAGTCTCTAAATTCAAACAACTAACATTAACAGGAATATGTTAGTAAAACATCATTTCATTTTATGCACATAAATTTACTGAAAACAAAAACATTTATATTACAAAAGTTCTACCAGGATTCTTTTATTTCTCAAAGAAAAAATATTATGTTGTTATACATTTATTTATTTATCTTTCATGGTTTGTCGAACTTTAAAGGCAGCAACTTCATCTTTTCTTATGTTTCTATTTTTAATCTGTTGCTTATTGTTGAAATAATATAAAAATAATAGGAAGAACAAAATTGTTGATAACAATAGTGCTTACCGATTTCCTTACCCATTCCTCACATTAAACCACTATCATTTGCATAATACATTTCAAGCACCAACAAGGATGCGCTTTTTATATTATGGGAATACTTAAATAATATTTTCTTTACATTGCACAGTAGGTCAAAATCATTATTAGCTGGACAAAATTAATAACTTTTAAAATATTTATCAGGTTTTTCCCATAATTAGGACATTGTGTATATTTCATATAAAAAATCTAATGGCACCATTAGATTGTTTATTTGGTTGCCATGGATACCTATATTTCATATCAACAGGCAATTTGCATAGTTACCTAAATAAAAAGACTTTCTCAAAATATCTAAATTATAAACTAAACTGATATTAATGCTACATTGCTATTTTATGTATTTGAATGATAACACAAACAAAAAATTATCAATTTTTGGTGTTGCTATGCTGTTATGGGCTCTTAGAAACCAGTTGGTAATTTTTTTTGAAACTTTTTCTTAATTCAAAATTTCTTTAAAAAATGAAATAAAAACTTTTAAAACACCCTTAACTATAAAGGTTTACAGGAACAGTTAATTAAATTTTAACTGTGTAGTTTAGATACCCTTAGCAACCATATAAAAATAAGCAAGTTTTTATACAATTAGAGCTACAAAAAACTTTATAACGAATATAAAAGAAAACAAACAAACTTTTATATTCATTATTTTATTATGTAAATATTAGATACTTATAAAGTAAACACCATCTTCAACACCAACGAAAATCAAAGCTATGTAATTGACACTTAGTCAAAAATTAGAACCTCTTTAAGAAGATCAAAAACTCCATTTGGAAGAGCGTTTTTCTTAGGATGATAGGGTTTTCTCAAACTACTTATCAAAGGGTCAGAAGAACACATTAGTTGCCTTAACAAATCTTCATTTGTTTTGGAACGCGAAAACTTTCTGGAAAATGATTCTCGAAGTTTTTATTTTGAGCTTCTTGTGCCTCTTCGCTGAGCATGCCAATAGGCAAAGCCATTCTCTCTACAACTTGCCAATAATGGATAAGAATGTGATGCAGACTCTGTGGCATATGATACCATGGAAAAAGGATTACATACTTCTCAGCTGTTTTATAGCAGTATTCTCTAAATAGTGAAGAGTCAATTAGAAAGTTAGATAACAATGAACACAAAATCACATCTTTATCATACTGACATCAAGTTCAAGAATTTGAGCAGACTTCTCTGCATTCTGAAAAAATTTTCTAGCAGTGTTTCCATTATTTGAAGACCCAGAGCCACCAGATGTTGGCATATCAATTATCAGTCAAACTTCATCACGAAACCTTATCTGAATTTTCTGTTTTCGTTCTTGAATAATTTTCTTTTCAGATGTAGTTCTTGCAGCCCACTTTTTTACTGTCAATTTATAACTAATTTTAAGAAGACATTCCATGCTTTTAATCCAAGCATGGAGAGTTGAAAGACCGAAGCAGAGACCTATTTCTGTCAATGGCATATTTTTAGCTGCATTAAGATCATTCATTTTTTTTGGACTGCATTCACAAACAGAACAACACTGAGAAGATGTAGTTGCTGTAGATAATACTGTAGCAACTTTGCCGTCCACCATTGTTATTTTAATTTTATGAAGTATTGTTAAGTTTTCACAAAATGTTAAGACAAATTTGCAATTGAATTGTTAATAAACTGATTCTCTTGTTTCAAAACTTCAATGGTTTCTTTTTTAAATGAAAATCTTATTGGTGTGCAATATAAAGTTGAAGATGGATGTGGATTAGACCAAATTATTATTTTTTTTATCATTAATGAATCCAAACAACTGAAGTAGAACAAAACAAGAAATAAACAAACTAGCTTCTTCTAAAAGATCTCTGTTTTCTTTCTCAACTGTTACTTGATTATATATCCTTTAGCTAGTTGATCCATCAAACCCAACTTTAGAATATAAAGTCCACCTTACAAGATCATTCATTGAATCAATAACTTGTTTCTGCACCTGTGTTAGGCGTATTGCTGTATGATCGACTAATGCTTGAAAGTTTATTTATGCCGAAAAATCATTTACAGTCCATAATGTTTTTCAGGAAGACACTGTTTAGCAGCACAAACATCATTGTAAGCAGGATAGAGATTACAACCTTTGCTCAAAGCATTATTTCTCAAGCGTTGGTAATCAGATTTGCTCATATCATTATCTAATATGAGTGCTAGAGCTTCATTTAGAGTGTTTTGAGTATGTTCTGTATCAGAAGGTTGCTTAATAGATAAACTTCGAACTACTTTTGCATCCTTTCTTCTGCTATCTTTAAAAAGATTACAAATACTAGCATACAACAGCAACTACTAGCATACAACTTATTTGATGAATCATCAAATAATTTTACAGGTCGACCACTAACTATAGATTCATTTTTATTATCCTGATTTTAAAATGACTTAAAGGATCCCGACACATGTTGTGTTCATATTAAAGATAATGTTAAAAAAA